GACAAGGTGCAGTTGGCCTTCCTGACTGCATCCCCACACTGTCGGCCCATGTTCATCTTGGCATGAATGATGACTCCAAGATCCTTTTCTGCCTCTGCACTGATGAGAAGGGTGTTCGCCAGCCTGTAGGTATGGTGCTGGTTCTTCCTCCCCAGGTGCAGCACCTTGCACTTGTCAGCGTTGAATCCCGTCCTATTCTCGTCCACCCACCCCTGTAACCTGTCTAGGTCCAATTGTAGCCTATTCCTTCCTTCTAATGTGCCCACATCCCCCCACATCTGAGTGTCATCAGCAAATTTGAATAGGGTGCTTTTTACCCCCTCGTCCAAGTCACTGAAGAAGATGTTGAACAGTGCGGGCCTGAGGACCGAGCCCTGGGGGACCCTACTGCCCACATCCCTCCAGGTTGAAGCAGACCTCTTTAACAAATTCTTTGCCTCCATTTTTTTGTGCAGAGACCGGGACTCCCCTACTGAGATTCAAGACAGACTTGGGAGAAATGCCACCAGGCCTAAGGTCAGGGAGGACTGGGTTAGGGAGCTTCTGGAGGGGCTGGACGTGTTCAAATCAGCAGGTCCAGATGCTCTCCACCCCAGGGTGTTGAGGGAATTGGCAGGGGTTACTGCAGCGCCCCTGGCATAGCTTTATGAGCACTCGTGGTGCTCTGGCCAGGTGCCAGATGACTGGAAGAAAGCCAACGTGATCCCCATCTTTAAAAAAGGGAAGAGGGAGGATATGGGCAACTATAGGCCTGTTAGTCTAACTTCACTCCTGGGAAAACTCTTTGACAAGATTATCAAGAAGCACATCTGTGATTAGCCAACAGCATGGTTTCATTAGGGGCAGGTCCTGTCAGACCAACCTGATTGCCTTCTACGATCAGGTCACAAAAGCACTGGATGCAGGGCCTTTGCCAGCAAAGCCTCTGACACAGTCTCCGACCTCATTCTCATTAAAAAACTAGGTGACTGTGGCGTTGATGCTTATGCAGTCAGATGGATTGCAAATTGGGTGAAGGGTCGTACTTGGAGGGTAGTGGTGGATGGGTCATTTTCGACTCGGAGGGAAGTGGGCAGTGGAGTCCCCCAGGGCTCAGTCCTTGGGCCCATACTGTTCAATTTCTTTATTAGTGACTTGGATGACGGGGTCAAAAGCAGCCTGTTCAAATTCGCTGATGACACCAAGATTTGGGGTGAGGTAGGCATGCTAGTAGGGAAGGACAGATAACAGCAGGACCTGGACAGGCTAACCATACCTTGTCGTGCATCCACAGATGCATCTCAAGCAGGGCCAAGGAGGTGATCCTCCCCCTCTGTGAGGCACTGGTCAGGCTGCAGCTGAAGTACTGTGTCCAGTTTTGAGCCCCGCAGTTCAGGAGGGATGTGGACAGCATTGAGAGGGTCCAAAGGAGGGCCACCCACATGATCCAAGGACAGCCGGACAGACCCTTCAAAGAGAGGCTACGGGACCTTAACCTATTCAGCCTTCACAAGAGAAGGCTGGGGGGGACCTGATGGCTGTCTATAAACTGACTGCAGGGGGGACCAGCAGGGTTTGGGAGAGACCTTGTTCCCCCGAGCAGCCCCTGGGGTAACAAGGAATAATGGCCACAAGTTGTTAGAGAGTAGGTTTAGACTAGACATCCGAAGGCACTACTTCAGAGTCAGGGTGGCTAGGATCTG